TTTAATGTTTTTCAGATTTTTTTCCCTTACATATGCCACTTAATCTATGTTTGTGATTTTTTTCAAGAACCGTTTGCCAAAAGCAACGAGCCCGAAATGATGGGGGCACTGAAATTTTTGTGCCATGAACTGTTGGTATGCAGACCTGTGTTCAAATCCATATGGAACAAGATGAATGAAATCAAATATTTCTGATATCTGGGGCCGGTCAGTTCCACGACGATATCTCAAGTCTGTCACCCTGTTTTTGAGGAAAAACAGAAAAAAGTTCTGTCATCAGGTCCTCCGCAGCCAGCAGATTGCCCCTTCCTATTATCAGGAACTATACCATGTAGGTTTTCGTCGACGGTGGCTACCACCAGTCTGCTGTGGGCCTAGCAACACTGGCTTGGGCTACTATCACAAGGGGGCACCGAAATGTCCAAACGTTGGTGATTTTTAACTCCCATTTCCTTCGACGAAAAGCTCCGAGGAAAATCATGGATGTAGGATAGGTTCCACTGTTTTAGGGAGAAATATTACGAAAATAAAGGTAAAAGAGTGGCAGCAAAAAAAGCTTTGGCACAAAGCAAATGCATATGGTTTGCCCGTCCTTGCTGTGACCAGGACATCCGACCATTCGGGCTTAGGAATTCCATCACCCTTGCCGGACTGAAGTTGGCACCTGCTCAAGAGTTGTCAAAGGTATTCCTACTACCTTTGACAGTTATGTCATACACTCCTTGAACGTACACCTTGTGGATGAGCGCCCCTTCAATGCTGTGATTGGATTGGGTTGGCTGCGATCTTGTTGTCAGCCCACTCCATGGAAGGAGCCCAATTTTTTCATGGTGAAAGATCTTGAGGGCAGGGTCCACGCTTGTCCACGCTGTATTATTGAATAAGGATCACGAGCCCTCCGCGACTTTCAACTGCATGAGCGCTGCAAAATTTTGGTAGGAAATTTGACTGTAAGACTGAGTGTATGTATGCTGCGTTTGTCAAACCTTCGGTGCTACTTGACCTTCTTCTACTTCTCAGTCTAAATGCGGTCATTCTTGACAAGTATCCGGAAGTGCTTGCAGAGCTGCATGGTGTGCCATAACACACGGAAGTGCTTGCAGAGCCGCATGGTGTGCCATAACACGCTGTCCAACACAAAAGTGAAATCTTGCCTGATAGCCGGCTCCCTAGAGTTGTGTGTACCACATTGGGCCGGTGGAACAAGAAGAATTGCAGAGGCAGATCGAGGAACTACTGGATAAGGGGTGGGTCCAGACTGAGTCAGTCTGAATATGGAGCTCCAGTTCTGTTTGTGCCTAAAAATAAAAGCAACTCTGAATGTGCATTGATTACCGAGGAGTAAACCGAATCACAAGAAACAAAATCCATCCTCCAGATTGATCTCAAATCTGGGTACCACCTGATTGAAGTCAATCCAGCAGACCAAAATAGAAGACTGCATTGGTAAGAAATCCAATCCTTCACATTGCTGATCCCAGTCTCCATTTTGTAATGATTGTTGTGTTATGATCCAATCCAATTTCAAAGTACAGATTCATGAGAAAGTACAATTCTTTCCAATTTCAAAAAGAAGTGAATGAACTTGAGAGGAGAGACAGGGAAAGAAGAAGAAGAAGAAGAAGAAGAAGAAGAAGAAGAAGAAGAAGAAGAAGAAGAAGAAGAAGATGATGTATACCAGCATAGACCAATGAGAATGCTCTTTTTCTTCGCCAACCACTCTCCTCCTCCTTATCTCCTCCCCTCTTATTCAAACAATAAATAATTCAAATAATAATAATAATGTTGAATGGGTGAACCAGAATCAATTTCCGAATCCCTCTTCTACTGCAGGTATCACATCAGAATCCATTTCCGAATCCCTCTTCTACTGCAGGTATCACATGAGGTCCACCATAGCCATGGCCACCCTTCTTCTTCCTTCCTCCAAGGCCGAGGCCATGACGGACTACCAGGGCACTGCCCTGCTGTGCAAAGGACAACACAAACCAACTATGGCTTCTCTAGCTCAGGCCTCCATGCCTGACTCTGCCTCGGAGCTTCTTGGTGTAGCTCTACCCCAACTTGGGCCTTCCAGATGCAGCGCCCACCAAGGTGATTGCTATGACAAGAGGAGATGGGACTAGCATAGTAGTGTTTGTGTTGACCTTTCAACATCCGTGATGAATGTGGATGTCCTACCATATCCTTAGGTGCTATGAAGAAGAGGGAAGTGAGGTTAGGGCTAAGGTGGGCTCTCGAGTTGCTGGCAGTAAGGGGGAACACTCAAACATGATTCCTGTTCAGTCATTCATTTGTTGTCGCATTTACTTGATTATTAAGAGGAGTACTATGGATGGAGTAGGATCATAACATTTGTTTAGAAATTCTCGAGTAACCCCAGTATTATTGTATCCCTGATACAAAGATATCTGTTTATCAACATTTCTTCGTGTGTACTGCTCAGCCAATGTGTGATGCTTTTCATGTAACTTGATCGAAAATGATGTCACTTCTTCTTTTTGGAAATTCTCTCTACTCGTGTTCTCTGCTATTGCCGCTTCTTTTGTTTCTTTTTTCTTAACGTCTTCAATAACTTAATTTTATTTCTGTTTTATGTATCACAGTGCGAGGCTACGCCCGCTTAGCCCCTACGGGGCCCTATCTGCAACAAGGTCGGCCGCCCTAAGTGAAGGCAGGCACGACAGGCCCTTCGGGCCTCATTCTTCAGGGTACCCCGCATCGGGGAAATTCAGACAGTTGCGTTGCGCCAGTTGGTTGAATGAATCCAGGCCGTGGGCCGCCTGTGTAAATGAATGTGAAGCAGGCCCTGGGCTGGATATGGGTACCGGGCCAAACACAGGCCGAAAGCAGTTGGGCGCATACAACCACTTCAGGCCCAAGGCCTGCTCTCTTCGTGACTGGGCCTGTGCCTACCGGGGCGTACCGGAAGCTTCCTGGACTGGACGCAGGCAGGCCACTTCGATATAGGGAAGGGCCTGCCTCCTCATTCGGGATTCGGGTGCTGGCTGCATGCTGTGTGAGCGCTGCTGCGCAATCCGCTGGCTGGCTGGCACTCACGCTCTCACGGGCGAGTAGGAGGGAGCACGC